CTGTCTCTCTCTCATTAATAATAGTAGCTCTGAATCGCATTCATGTTGACAAATGTAGAAAAGGCATGAATGAGAATGAATATCTTCACAATGCAAGAGATGCATTTGACCGGTATCGATTCTATCTTCAGAAAGACATGGGTTTCTAATGAAGATATGGTAGAAATTTTCATTCATACTTTTTTCTGCAAATAGCTCTCTTGTCACAGATATGTAGTTGTCACACTGTTAAGCGCCCTTAATGACCACGACCTTTTAGATTAAACGAACTAAAGATTAATGCATTTTCAAAGTAAAGCCTTTCAACAATATTAGTTATCAGGTATATGTATATCGGTAGATAGGTAAATATGATATGTTACATCAATTTGGAAACTTTCATTGTTATTTACGCCGTATATTTCATATCATATTAAACAATACCATCTGCCATGCCACAGCCTCTGTATTTGTTCAAATTCCCTGTATACTTCAATATATTGTATGCAGATTGTTTTGTATATAAGCTGGCAGATTATAGAGAATTTTCCATTAGTTGGACTACTGTAGAATAGTTGGAATTAGTTGCCTCAGTAAAATTGTACTTAAAGGAATCTTCAGTAAAAAGGTGTATACATGTGGTGTGTGTATATATGTATGTATGTATGTATGTATGTATATATATGAATCATTAAAATTAAAGGGGTAACAGTAAGGAAACGATTAAATTTGGCGCCTTCTTGTCTTCAGGTTGGGACGGCGCGGCGAACATCGGCGTCCTGAGCAAGGGCATGATCGAGTCGCTTGACCTGGCTGACCCCGTCGACCTACAGAGGCGCTTCGACTGGGTCATGAGCATCGAGGTGGGCGAGCACATCCCTGCCAAGGCCGAGGGCGTCTTCATGGATAACCTCGCCAGACATGCTTGCAAAGGTTAGGAAGTTTCCGATGTTGGTCGAGATAGATTGATTGTTGTAATATCCAATAATGATTTCTGTTGTAACAATAGTGATGGATGAAAACTTAGGTATGATGGATAATGGCAATGATAACAACTGAAAATAATCATTATCGTGATCATTCTACTATCATTAGCAATATAAACGAACGCCATAATTCTATCAGCACTATTATTTTCCTGTCGTTTAGTCTTTTTTTAGTTGTGTCACCATAGTAGCGTCATCACTTCTTGCAGGTGTGGTGCTGTCGTGGGCGGTGCCAGGTCAGGACGGTCACAACCACGTGAACACGAGGTCGAACGAGTACGTCAAATCCAAGATGGCGGACAGAGGCTTAGTGGCAGACGTCGAGACAGAGAAACGCATTCGAAAAGCTGTGAAAATTGGGTGGTTTAAGGACACGATCATGGTTTTCCGGTTCCCAAAAGAGAGATGTTGAAGACTGATGTTCATGAGTGAATTTCTGGCGATAAGTTGAACAGCTTCTTGTATATGTTTTAGAGATGTGAAAACGTTTATATGTTATCTAGATTTTGATAGAATATTTATATGTGGCTGTGATATTGTGTGATTAATGTGTTCATCACACACACACACACACACACACACACACACACACACACACACACACACACACACACACACACACACACACACACACATTGTAAGTATGTCATGCGATGAAGTCATCAAAACCGGCGAAAATAGCAGTGCAGCCAAAGCAGATGCTAGTTTCAGCCTTCTGAGTAAAGCGCATATTTAACGGCAAGACATTTCAAGATGTCTTCAAAAATCTCGAATCTTCTTGCTCATATTTGTTTTTGATGGAACATATTGGTCAGATGTCTTGGTCTGGTTTCGTAACCAAGCCAAGCATTTTCAAGCTACTTCCAGATGAAGCTTGCTACAGTTTCACGACGTCACAATAGTAAATAAACCGCCAACATGGCCGACAGAAAATGAATAACGATGGAATTCTCTTGATAATTTACTTATTTTGTTACCAATAGGCGATGTTATTGACTAGCAAGTTGTTGTCATATCTGTGCCCACCAGTATACTGATAGCACTTTTAATCTCTGGATGATAAGTACTAGCTACTGAAAACTGTTTTACGGCCCTCCAAGGGATGTTCAAAGTGCGTTTATATATATCTGTTATTTTCATTTTAAACTCGTGGTTTGAAAGACCGATTTTTGCTCTGAATGATGAAGATTAGACATTTTAAATTGTTGTTCTAAAGTGTGTGGACGATTTTTTTTTTTATCGTACCGTTTGTGCTACATGTGATTATTTGACATTCCAACTTCGTTAATCTTCTACAGCAAATGTAAAATCAAGGAAAGGGATTTCTTGATCGGCAATTTCACTGTCATTAATAACAGCGTCCAGTCTGTTTTTTCCCGAATGATTCTGTCACCCGCCATGAAGGAGAATAAGTCATCTCATATTTTGGCAGTTTGTTTATATTGATAGCAAGCTGTGTTGGGACTGTTTTGACGATTTCGGCAAGGCCAAGCAAACCAAACCATAGCTTGCTCGCGTTTCTCATTAAAAATGCA